GAATATTTGTTGAATATTCGAGAATATTAAACCACAAGAATTCTAATGTTTGAAGTTCAATAAAATGGTGAAAAAGGAAAGAATTATATAGCTACAAAGAAAAAATGTCAAAACCATGTTTCCCGATCTAATCAAGAAGAAAGGTTTTTAATAACTTTTTACACGCGTCTGAATTTTTAAAATTTTCCACGAGAAGAGTGTCCTGATTTTCTTACGCAGTTACGTAATGTAAAATCATCTTCGAAAGAAACGAGCTCACGATTGTCAAATCAGAGACTTCACTCTTTGAAACGAGACCAAATGGGATCGCTATCAAGTTGTATCAGTTTGAATTATTAACAATTTTTCATTGTCATTGGTACAATTATGTTCTTTACTGAAAATGACAAGTTACAAATTGTAGAAAATTTTGTAATCCCCGACGTTTCAATTGGACTCGCTTAGAGAATCAACGAAACTCTATGGTGACTAATATTGTTTCCCTCGAATCAAGAAGTAATTAAAAGATCCTGAACTTCATTCGCAACTTCTAACGATACTTCAAATCAAGTAAATAACGAATTTAGCCCATTAAAGCGGTTTCAAGGTGTTTCAATACAAGTTTCTTGAATGCTGCCTAACTTATCTAGTTTGAGCAAGACTGTAAGACAATCAAGCGGCTTTGAAATTTGTAAAATCTGCTTGCAAAACTTTATTACCGAATTCCATTATGCAAGATGTACAAGGAATTTGTTATTTTTAACTTGTTTTTTTAACCTGCTACGATTTCGTGTAATATTCAGTCGTAAAATTTTCTCGTAACATTTCACGAGCAATCTTAACGCTAGAACTGATGAACAAAAATTGGTCGAAATGACGAATTTATAATTCTTTTAGAGTAATTTCTCGGACTTGCAATGTTGCGTTCCTCAGAGATTCGTATGACTTTTGTGAAATATAAAACTATATTTTACATACAAATATATAAAATATATAAATAAATAAAAATTCGCGTTCATTATTGTATTATTTCCTAACCCTTGCGTTCCAATATCTCTGACTCGATTCTTGTACTTTTTCGGTCCTCGATAGTTCCAGTGTTAAAATTATAAAGGGAAATAATGAATTATAGATCTTGCTTGGTCGATGATTTTACTTCGTAAGACTAGACGATTGATTAATTGCTGCTTTCGACAGCAAGCCCGTCCGGGAAAATGTTTCCCAGACATTTTGACCATTGATTATATTTTCCAAATGGAACCACAGAGTCGGGCTTATCGATCGAATGGCGCGCGCCGTGTTCAGACACGCGTATACCACGTGTAAACGTAATAACGTTGACGAACGACCAGGACATCCGTCAATCACCGTCAAACCGATGCCGGCAGTTTGTCGCCATGTTGACTTTCCATTCGTGTCATTTGCTCGTTATTAACGTTCACCTATTTTTTCTTCTCTCTCTCTCTCTCTTTCTAGGCCGCCGTCATTGTGCTCCGATGACTTTGTGCTACGAAATAATGCCATTAGTAGGCGTTACTGTTTGCTGATAAATCGAGGCCATTGTTCAGATCGATCGATCAAACATTTGGAGAGCAAAAAGTCATTAATTATACATGTATCTTTTCGTAACATCAATTTATAGTTGGAAAATACTTTCAAAAATATCCTTTTTAAAAATCGATTTTTCTTTTTATCAAGGGTAAAAAAAGGGTGCTCGTCTCTCTTTAATTTTCGAATAATTTCCTTCAGCTGTGTTTTAATTTCCCATTCTTCGAAACTTTCAGTTGGACGCCTGTCTCTTTCGATTCAATTGAAACATCGATCGAAATCTCAGGAATATATTTCATCCTCCTTTGGAAATTTACTTAACAGACTGTTCGGTATATCGCGCCATTTCTCTGAAAGATTGTTTGCACACGGAGAGGATTTAATCTACATTGAAATCGCTTATAAGACGTTAATAAGAAAATGTCAGATTGATCGACGAACCGCGATCACAGGTCTATGCATTTATGCATTCGAACCGATATCGATACGTTGACTCGATTCTTCGATTAATTGATTAATTGATTATTCTTTGAAGAGGGCCTTGAATGCACGATCCTCGAACACGCGCGATCCCATACAATTTCACTCACGTACGAATTTAGCGATCCTTTTAGTATCGGTATTGCCGCAATAGCGGCAGACAATCTATCGGCGCGTAAAATTTTATGTTACCCAGACAGAGAGAGAGAGAGAGAGAGAGAGCGATTTTCTTATATGGGAAAACTGCTCTGACCCGTCGACCTTCGCTCGCGAAATTTTCGCATACGAAACGAAACGTGAGAATTTCGCTTTCGCTGCTCTTCTCCGCGCGCGAAAAGATAATAAATTCGATCGATCTTTCAGCGAGAAAAATGACATTAAAGTTCTTTTAATCTAGTTTCTGGAGAACTGAAAATGAAAATATTTCTTTTCCTTTACTTTCTCGTTAAAAGATAATAGGGAAAATAACAAGGTGAATAATTTTCAGAGAATTTTGAAGTTCTTTCAATCTATTTTCCAGGGGATTGAAAGTGAAAATATTTCTTTTCCTTTTCTTTCTCTCTCGTAAAGATAGCAAAAAGAATAACGAGATAAATAACGGGAAAATAATTTACAAGAATCTTGATTTCGTTTGACGATATTTAGTCAGGTGACTTTCTCTTTCTTCTTTTTCTTGGATTTGTTATGAATGATACTTCTGTTTTATTTTTGCAAGCTTGGGGAATGCAACTCAGGCGCAGCTTTATATTCAGAAAATATTTAGCCAATTAAAAATCCGCGGTTTCCCCGTTCGCTGTTGAATTACACAGAGAGTGGCCTGTTTCGATCGAAACTAGTTTCCAACGAGGAAAAAAAAACAAAAATTGAAAACGAGCGGTTCTCGGAGATTTCTTACAATTATATACGTCAAACAAAAAAAAAAAAAA